CTTTTTCATCATAAACAATTTTATATAAAAGCAGTAGTATGGGTGACATTAAACGAAACTTGTTGTAAAAGTATGAAAGAAGAGAAACTGCCGAAATTTTCGCATGCAAATATTATTTCACAGATTTCTTTTAATAAAAATATCTACCCATTTAAAAATTTAATTACTGTAAATATAACTGGATATAACAACCATACTAATTCGATAACATTTTTTTTTCAGATGCTGCTTGAAATATTTATGGTATTGTGTAACAAAAGATCCAAGAAGTTACAAATTATCTCAAGAAATATGACAGCTTCTTCAATTCTCAAGAAATATGACAATTCATTCCTACATATTTTGTCTAAATAAATAATAAACGCTATTATTTAAACATGAGTTTGTTCTATTTTTTTCCATTTCTTAATTTTTTATAAACAAATGGGAGTTTAACATAATTATTTAAGATATAAAAATAGCTTCATAATTTCAAGCCTGTCATATTTTAACTGTTTTTGATACAAATATCATATTAGTGAGCATTATAAAAATAATTTAATAAAATTAATTCAATTAATCCTCAAACCTAGTATATTTTTAAACACTAAATACAAAGAAATCAAAAATGTTAAAATTATTATTTAGTGGTGAAAAGCTATTTTGTTATTTAATGTTGTTATGCTCATTAATTAAGAAATTTGTTTTAACTGACTTACAATACAAAATATCTGTTTTTTATACTGATCCGACGTATTTAAAGATGATACAATTATCAATACAGAGGAAAATATTGGTATTCATTCATTTTCTTCTTTCTTTTTTTACTTTTCCTTCGATAATCAAACTTATTTTGCTCCAATAGTTACTAAAATTATGAAGTGTCAATCAAATATTTGTTTGATCACATATCAATATCACAATCAAATATTTGTTTGATCACATATTTAAACTTCTATAGTTGTAGAGTTTTCCGGAAAAAGTTTATAAGAAACGTTTTAGAGAATATAACAAAACTGGCTTCTGAAAATGTAGCAACATCAGGAAACTATTCACTCTACTCAGTTTCTCACTAAAAAAATTTTTATTTAATGACTTGGAAGAAGAACTTCTTTTCAAAATTCATTTGATACTATCTTCTAATAAGTTGCTCAATTATCACTTTATTTTTGGTGTTGTCTGAAATTGTTTACACTTGTAAATATTCCTTAACTTCGCTGTCTATGTCGGACTAAGTAATAAGAATGTGTGGAGGTATATCATACTTACTCTGCACTCTGCTTCAAGTTAAGAAAAGACCATTGCTGTATAGGATTCAAGTAATCATCCGCGACTGCATATAGTTCTGTTCTACTCAGTTAACAAATTATATAAGTATGCTTTCAAAGCAATAATAAAGCTTTTAAAAGTTAAACACGTCAGGCAGAAATTTCATTCGAGCAATCTTTTATACATCATAGAATTATTTAAAAAAAAGTTACAGTTTCGTAGTCTTGCTATAATCCTAGACTTGGCAACATAGTTCGATAAATAAGGAGAACATTCGTTCTTGAAAAAGAAACAACTATACGATGTAGCAAAAGCATCGGATTTGATTGGACCCCTAAAAATGGCGCGTCTTATGCTGACGTGTCCTTAAGAAATAAAATGCGAGATAAAGAATTTTTACTTTTGTTTCGCTGTAGAAAAAAATCTTCTGCAAGAAACAATATTCATTATTCTCTCATCAGTTTCTTTGGATGCGAAGAGAAGGACGCATATTTGTTTCGATTTTAGATATCATTTTTAATAACTTTTATTACTTGTTAATTGATTATTGTTGTTAGTAAGAAAGCAAGCAAAAAGGAGACTGATTAACGTCGTTTCAAAAGTTGATATTCGTATTCGTAGTTGATAGTAGTTGATATTCGTAAGAGTTGATATTGATATTCGTTCGCGGTGGGAGCTTGACGTCCATTTAGCGTCAACTCAGATGCAAACAGACTCTCTCCATAAGAATAATGGTTTTTTCTTAACTTGCAACATAGTTATAATAATAGAATAAATATAGAATAGATAACCATAGTTTTATTTTTCAAATAGAAATGAAAGAATCAAGAATAGCGATAAAAGAAATGCTTATACATATTTCGAATTCTCATAAATGCTGAGCAAAAAATAATGGAACATTGAGAACAAAATATATAAAAATTCATTTGAAATCAAACTAATACGTAACCACCTCTCCTTAATGTCGAGATGAGATGGCCATCTAATAAAGTAAAGGAAGTGAGAAATTAAAATATGAAAATTAACGCATTTCATACTGTTAAACATGAAATAGGCTGTAAGGAATGATAGTGTTTAGTTAAATCCTGAGTGAGCAGATTTGGAAAATATGCAGAGTTTTATCGAGTAAGTTAAATGTTTTAACAGATAATTGGTTTGGTCAATAGAATCAAAATGTAATAAAGGTCCATACGGTCCTCAAAAACTATAAAAAATTGCTTTCAATGTTGTAATAAAAAAGTTAAGTAGTTCTTTTTTATTAGCTTTCATCCTAAAATTTCGCAGCAAAATATATTTATTTGGAGATATTAAGTTCAGCGGTGAAGACTAATTTATTAAATGTATCTTATTTACTTATTACATTTGCTAATTATTTTTTATTTTGTTAAGTAATCTATGTTCTTTCATGCGTCAATAAGCATTAAGTAAAAGCGGCCATCTTTCCTAAAGTTGGTGATGAGATGGCAGACCGAATTTACAGCGTCACTTCATTGTAAAAAAATCAGGATCAAATTCGTAAAATCCATTTTTACCGAATTCGTATTTTATTCGTAAAATCCATTTTTACCACTGAATCACTGAATTATTCGAATAAGTATTACTGTAAAAATTAAGGTATAATATTTTACGGTAAAATATTTTACGGTAAAATTGATTTTTCGGTAAAATGGATTTAAAGATGATGTACCCAAAGTCCGGTACTCTATACCGTTATTTGATCTGGAATTTTTTACAGTATAATATCTCAGCGTTTTACTAAGAAACAAATATTGGGCTAAGCATAAGCATTAAAAATCCAGGTTGTTGAAGAAAATAAAAGAACAAAACTTAATTCACGAAAAAGATTTGAACACTAAAATAAATAAAAATTAAAGTTTCACAAATTATTTTTTTTTCACGAAAAGCAATATTCTGTCCAAACTCTTAAACAAGTTAAACTGCTTCCTGTGAAACTGCATCTGCTAAAGTACATAAAAAATTATCATTACAGCTTTTAAGATTTCTAAAATCCTTGAAACACTGGGATGATGATTTTAAGGTCACCTTCTTTTAAAAAGATGCTGCTGTCAAAATATTTTTAAGAAGGGCCTTTTTCATCATGAACAATTTTTTAAAAAGATATTTCAGGCGTATAGAATTTTTCCATAAAGTCACCTCCCTATTTTGAACTAATAAAAGTGAACAATATATAATAATACATAAAATAAAATAAAAAGACAAAAAATAATAGAAATGTAATAAAAAGACAAAAAATAATAGAAATGTAATAAAATAATGTAATAAAAGTTTATTATCGGTTCACCGCTTTTATTTAGCTTTCTTCTTTAATTTTAAACGTAAGAATTTGAAATAATCTTATTTCTTTTTCATCCTAATTACATATTTTCTCTTCCTTTTCTCATAATCATTTTGAGTCATTTTGTAATGTTCTTTAATAATGTATATCACTCTGAAAATGTAGCGTTGATTTTTTTAGCAAAATTCAGTAATAATGATAAAAAATAATATGATCTGCTTTGAAAAAAAAAAGCATGCATAAAAATTTTAAACCATATTTAATTTTTTGAAACAAAATGTAATAAAACAAAATGCAGATGTAAGCTATTATTCGAACCAATCTGTATAGTTCGAGACAGTTATTACCGATGATGGCTGAAACTAAAAACAGAAACTGAATTTTTATTGCTTAGTTTTTATCTGTCCGAATACAATTATACATTAAGTTATCATTTTATATTTTCATTCTATTCAACAATCTGTTTAAAAAATTGCCTTTAACTTCTCTTTTTTTAAGCATTTAACGCTGAAAAAAATATTTCTTTCAAATCTTGAAATAAATATTTCGAAGACATAATTAAATTATATCTATTTAATAACGTAATTGAATTAAATTAAATTATATTATTAAATAATCATAATTTAAATTATTTACAATAATCTATAATTATATGTTATTATAAAAGTGTAGATATAATTAGAATTATATCTATACTTCTGCATAGATAGACACACTAACTCTATAATTACTCTCCATTTCAGGGAGAGAAAAAATGGCTAAAATTACCCTAGTGTAATCGTAATAACATTTATGGTAGAAAAAACAAACAAAAAATAAATAAATAAACATAATACTGAACATTTGTAAACATACACATGAAACCAAAATATACGGCATTTAAATGATTTATTTGTTAATTTTTCCTTTCATATTGTCACGGTTTATAGGAAATATCAGGTTTTCTAAATTATAGTTCCTATTGCAATACATTTAGTAAAAAATATAAAACTGAAAAGTAAATTTTACCTAATAAACTGTCTTTATGACATGCTTTAAGGTATCATGTCAAAATTACCAAATTTTACCACTTAACAAAATTTTAACTCATATTATAAAACCATATTTTATTGTTAATTTTACGAAAATTATTACCGAAATGCTTCGGTTAAAATTACCGTGCTGTTTGGTTTTCCCATAGAACCAAATACACTGTAAATTTTACCATATTCCTCTTACTCTGGTAGTTTTGATCATAATTTTTTTCTTCATTGTACGAATTTGTTAATTTTTTAGTAACCATAATATAAAATATCTAATTCATTTACAAACTTGTTGATGGTGTCGCCAATGAGAATCGTTGAAACGTTATGACGTATCTATAATTCGTTGGTTATCATTAGCATAAAATTAATAAACGTTATTGCTGTATTAATCCGTATATTATTTATTTAACAACAATAATCATCCCTTCTGCCGTTATTCTTGTGTGTTTATGTTTTTAAATTTCTAAAAAATTTCTATGACGAAAAATGTGTGATGAATTTTTTATATTGAACAAGAATTAAACATGAATTAAAAAAAATATATATGAAATTGAAATGGCAGCTAAGCGAAATGATGGGCATAAATATTAACCCAATAAAAGTAGAATTGAGATTGTGGAACAAATCTTAGCTAATATAATATTTTTTTTCTCTATATTTTAGTTTATCTTTGCTTAACTGAAAAGTGTTAATTTTGTCGTTACCCTTCTTTTAATCACAGAGGTATAGAAATGACTGCAGAGGTATCATCGTGGCTGGTAAGCAAAACAAGTTATTTGAATGACCAAAAAAAGTATTGAGAAAAAAACTTTTAAACAATATTTCTATTTTCTTCATAAGAGGAGACGAATGTTGAGGAGGTTAAAAATTCAAAATCATGAAAGTAACAGATAGTTTTATTTCATTTATTTATTTATTTATTTATCTTGTAGCATTACCAATATAAATGCCTAACTAAACCTCATATAAATTAAAGTCTTAATTTATGTAACTGTTATTGTTAAGTGATAACATAATTTAGTGTAATTTTTATTTTAATCTGAATATTTTTTCCTGTATCCCGATATCGACATTTTAAAACACGCATCTGTTTTTAATAAAAATTATACTTTATATGTTTGAAGAGATTAGTAAGAGTAGTATTTTTGCGAATTTGGAAAGCTTAGTTTGGGAAGTACAGGAACAGAATTTTTTTTTTTTTTAAATTTTGTTCCTCTTAAAAACTGTTCTATGTTATGCGCCTGTTAGGGAAAAGCAAAACCTTTAATTCATACAGCTGGTCTCATGATGTTTTTAAGTCCAAATTGTTAAGTTTTCTCCTTTTTTTTTTCCTTCTTTTTTATGGAATGTTACTCAGTATCTTCTTTATCTAAGTTTTACATTTGTAATAAATAATAAAAAAGTATTAAAAAAGTAATAAAAGGAAAACAATAAGAAAAAATAGAAAAAGTTACAAAAATATTTGTGGAAAAATTTTAAGGAATAGTAAGTGGGAATGGACTCCTTTTCACGCAGTTATTTTTAAAAAGGAAATGTCATTTTAATTTAAAAAGATCATATTAGAAGAATGTAAAATTAGAAAAATGAAATAAAAAATTTAAGAGGATTGTATTAGAAGATTGTAAAATTAGTAAAAATAAAAAAATTGAAAAGAGAGTATTAGAGGATTGTAAAATTTGTAAAAATAATATTAAAAAAAATTCTAAACGATAAAACGAAATTTAATTTCCTTCACTTGCAGAAATGGAGACTGAAACCACCACACAGAACTATTTTAAGTTAAAGTTTTTATTTATTTTGAATTTAATTTACAGTTTTATTATATTTTTTATCGTTTTTTAAATTTAAGGTTTATTTTATTTTAATTAGTTTCTTACAGGTACAAGATTATTATCATTAGTTTCAGATACCTTTTAGTGTTATAAAAACCAGCCGAATTATACATAATTTTTTAGTATAAATTTTTAACTTTTAAAATTGTTGATGAAAAGTCTAAAATATAATGAGTGCAATCTTTACAAACAACGATTTTATTTTCTTCTTAATAACATATGTATAAAAAAAAATATGGCTGAATAAGATGAGTTAAATAATTAAAATAATAATAAATAGATTAAGAAAACTTCTTAATATGAGATAGTGAATAAACTGAGCATAAATATTTAGTTCCTTACACCTATTCATACATTAATTAATAAATTAGGATTTAATTTATGAGATTTTTATTTTGGAGTATTTTTTTTTATTTTTTTATTATTTGTATAGTATTTTAAAACCTAAAATTAATTTTATTTACTTTATTTTAAGTAATTGCAATTTCAACTACTTTCCATTTAGAGTTACAAGGAATCATCAAAATAACTTTCATTATCTTCTACATAGAAAAAAATATTCTGGTAAAAAATATTTGAAAATAGTGATTTTATTTTACTCTTCAAAAGTAATGAAGGATGTGTTAAATAATAATAATAATAAACAAATAAGCAAAAAAAAAACTTTAAATAGGAGATGAAGGATAAACCGAGCATCGATGTTAAGTTCATTTCCACTAGGAATATTGAAAAAAACACATAGATTATTACNAAAATATTCTGGTAAAAAATATTTGAAAATAGTGATTTTATTTTACTCTTCAAAAGTAATGAAGGATGTGTTAAATAATAATAATAATAAACAAATAAGCAAAAAAAAAAACTTTAAATAGTAGATGAAGGATAAACCGAGCATCGATGTTAAGACACATAGATTATTACTCATCACAAATATTGTTATTTAGATCTTAATTTATAGGACTTTAAATTTACAGTATTTTTTATTCAATTTTTGAAATTTTTTACTTCATATTTCAACTTAAATATTATTTAATTATTATGAGTTTCTTATATCTTCATGGTTATTTTAATTATTTCCCATACATTTTTAGAGCTATAAAGACTAGCCAAAATACTCGAAATTTCATTTTAAATCTTATTTATGTAATTATTAATGTGCAGCTATAAATTTTCTGAGAATTTGTTTTATTTATTCGTATAATCTTCTCAAAAAGTGATTTTATTTCCCTCCGAAATAATGAAGGGCAGATTATGTAAAAAAAACTGTAAGGATAAAAAATAAAAAATAAAAACAAAACCTTTTAAAAATAATATAGCGGAATATCCTCGTATCAATCCTTGCACTTACCTTTATGAAACCAAGAAATGCACTCATTTTTATTTCAAGTCTCAAGATCTGATTAATATAAATGTTTTAAATTGTAACAGTAATCTCTCTCTCTCTCTCTCTCTCTCTTNATATATACATGTAAAAGTAAATAAGTAGTTGTGAGTAGAATCAATTTAAAATAGCAATTTCATTTCCACTGAAATAAATAAAGAAAAAGAGTATAAATAAATGATAAAAAGAAAAGAAGCACAAAACGAAAAAGAAAAAAGAGGGGAAAGAAGGGAATGTAAAGAAAATATCGTCGGCTCTTAATAAAGCTTTTTATGAATACAAAGTAACGAGACAGTGATAATAACAGCTTTCTATACTCTACTTATTACAGAGAAAGAGCAGCACGATTAAATTATATGAAGAAAAATAAAAAATAAAAAAAAACATCAAAATTATTTTTTTTTAAAAAATGACGTATAAATTAGGCTCCCTTTTCAAACTTGGCGGATAATTGAATGTGGGACCATGTCTAGTGAAATAGTTCTTCAAGAATCAGCTAGACGGCGTGTCGACTAGAAACTGGGGGGTTACTGTTATATGACAAGATCCAGAAAGTCGGAAAATAGAAACGAACCTGCAGGAGTGGGGCAGTGGAGGGGAGGAATCTCACCCCCTCCCCCAAAATAGAACGAACATTACGTAAGAGAAGAAGCTACAGAATTAAAGCTACTGCATCACATAGCGATAGACAGAAAATAAAACAGGGGTGCTGTGTAAAGGGGGGTGTTGCCAATCAAGCAGCGGTGGGTTGACCTTTGGTCTGCGTCGCGAGCTCCTGACCACTCCTCTGCGAGCGGATGGTTGGACGAGTTGGAATAGCGGCGCGCGCTGTCTTCGAAATAGAGGGGAGATATTGCGGTGAATGATTTTTCCTAACAGTGCTGGTTCGCGAGGTCTGCGCGTCGCACGAGTCTACGGACGGCGCCTCGACGAATCGAAGATCGGCGTGCATGGTTATCCATCGCCGTAAAGAAACTCGATTTTCGACCGTGGTCAATATTCGGTTTTTATGGACAGTGTTTTTGTTTCGTTACTCTTTATAGTGTTTCTCTGGATTCTATAGAAGACTGGAATATGAGTTGAGTTGTAATTTATTGCTAAGGATGTTAATGTTTGTATAAAAAAAAAAAGTAAACAGAAGTAAGTGAAATTCATTCAAAACTGTGTGAACAATTTTTGTTGTTGTGATAAGATATTTCGTTAAGAAGAATAAATAATCTCTCATTAATGTTAATTAGTGATAAGAAAAAAATACTTCCTTTTCGCTAGTCAAGCATAATACTGTTTTAAAAACAACTGTCATTAAATTCACTAGTCAAGTTGTGGAAATTCAATTGATTAAAAACTAGGCACTAGTCATTTTCACCAAGAAATATACAAACAACCCCATTAAATATTCATAATCAACCTCAATATCTGTTCAGCTTATTTATTAAAATATAAATAAAATTGAGAAATTTCAGTAATTTTAAAGCTTCCTTTATACTGAAAGAAACAAAGAATTTTAAACCAGAACCAGCAAGTAAACAAATCAAGTACTCAACAATTGTTTTTCACCAAAGTTAAGCCTAATTCTGTTTAATAAATATACAAAAAGCATCAATTATATACTAAAAACAGGGAAAATTATAAATATTTCCTGAAACATTTTTAAGTGCAACAATAAAACATGGAACAGAAAAACTGGAAAAATCCCGGAAACTGTCAAAAAATGTTTTAAAAGAATCCCGAAAGCCGGTGTGATTTTTTTCCCATCATGCATTTGGAGCGGACATGATGTTTTGAAAGGAGTTGTATTTCTCCGCAAAATAGGCGGAGAAAAATGTGAAGATTTGAAAGTACTTGGACATCTAGTTCGGAGGACTAGTTTCGTTTCTGTTTTGTTTATTTTTTTATTATTTGTGTACTGTTTCGTTTTTGTTTTTGCACCTTCATCAACAAATGACTTCTGCTTCTGGCCATGTCTCGTAGGAAACAGGAAAATCCTCAACCTAGAAAGAGATTGATAAATGGTAAGTAAAAAAAAATTAATTATTTTATTATATGAGAATTTCAATTATGAGAGACCATGAATTTTTAAAACATTAACAAGTTTCTTCATTTATAGAAATTAATTTTTTTGATATTTTATTTTTCACCCTCATCACGATTGTTTTATATTCCTAAACCACGTGAGTGACTGAGGGACAAGTTAAAAATTACGTTACGTTTCTTCCCTTTTGTGTTACTTAGAAGATATTGAAGAAAAATTGTCTTCCTCAGTTTATTGCATATTTAAATTAAATATAATTTGCTTTTAGTTTTTAAAAATTAGTTACTTAGATTTATGCATCATTTACTGAAAGTAATTTTGTTTTGAAACATTGCTTACTTAGATTGATGTATCTTTAATTTAACATTAAATTAAAAAGAAAATTACTGACTTAAATTAATGTATCTTTATTCTAGAATTAATTTAAGAAATATAAATAAATTTATTTATTTTTTTAAACATATTTAAAATTATTATATAAGGATTATATTGGAATTCAGTAATATATGACTAAACTAAATTTAAATTTAAGGGTATTTATGTTGTTACTGGTTCTTTCTAAATCCACTTTAAAGCCCCGTGTAAATATCTATTGAAAAGTATTTACTTTAATTAACAAAACGTTAAAATGGAAATTAATTTCAGTTTCTGAAAAAAGTTGGTGCTTGCAAGCTATTTTATTTGCATATTTATTGCGATTTTTTCTATCAGTTTGAAAAATTTATTCAGGAGAGTATTGCAAAATATTTAAGTAATAGTTAAATAAATGCCATTATACAATTTTTATTACTAAACATTTATATAAGAATTGTCTAAATTCTGTTACAAAATATTTTTAAAAAAAATATTAAACGAATAGCCATTAAATGTTAACGTTTAAGAAAGTGCCTATTTATTAACTACAGCTACAATATTTGTTAATTGCTTTGTACTTATAATTTGAAATAGTTAATAATCTAAAATTTACCTGAAAAAAATCTGGATAAAATGCATTATTCAGTTTATCTAATGAACTGATCTTTATAATTCAAATATTTATATTATTTCCTCAACTTTATTCTAAGACATTAAATTATTTTGATAAATTATAATCATCTTAAATTAACAAATCTTATTTTCATAAAAATGCCAAACTTATATTCTTCCCGAATATTATTTTTTTAAATTAATAAATAAAATCTATAAGTAAAGCATTTAGCCAATACATATGAATTTAGTGAAATAAATATTTCACTAAATTTAATGATTATTTCATTAAAATTTCAGGTTAATTCAGCAGAAACTCCTTTTAAAAATTAAAACACTCGAACTTAATTGTTTAAAAAATTTGATTGAATGCAAAAAAATTTTTAAAAAGGAAAATAAGCAGCAGAAATATTTTAATTGAAGAGCATTATAAAATAAATGGTAAAAAAACTTAATAATGTATACATAATTTTCTACTTTAGATTTTAATAGCGATATGTTAAACAAATGAAATCATTGAAAAAAGATATTGTAAACAAATATTAAAACTAATAAAAGCTTCATACTATGAACATATTGATAAACCATCAAAATATTAAATGAGAACTGAAAGCGCATTTAAATTGTTCAAAAATAATCAATTTTATAAACATTTAACTAAAATTTTGCCGATATATTACGTTTGATTTATATAATATCGTTTCATGTTTTGTTTGTTATTTGCACATACAAGGAACTGGAACACGCCAAACACAAACTTTAATTTATAAGTATTTATATGTTGATAATATTGAATTTATTGGTTTTGTAATTTAAATATTTATAGGATTTTTCCTCTGAGTGAGCATTTCTTAATCGATTTTGTTCTGATAATTGAGATATATATGTTAAAAAATAGGATTCATTGAAATTATTTCAAAAACAGCGATGTAATCTCACCATGCCAACAATTAATTTATTGCTTTTAGCAAGGTCTGGTGTGTAATTGTTCTTTCATATGTTTCATTTCAAAAAATTCGTAAAATGTAATTGATAATTACTGATAAAATTTTCGCTAACTACGATTTTTCTTTGTCATTTTTTATATGTATAGAAAAGTAACGTCTGATATTATACATACATATATATATATATANTATATATATACACTATTTTTTATTATTATAGGTATACATATATTTAAATATAATATTTATTCCTAGAAATTTCATTCACCATTAAAGCACTAATTCAAACAGTGATATTTTTATAATAATGACGAATCAGAGTTTAATACAGTATATATATTTTTTCTTTTTAATGTTTATGACAACTTTGTGTTAGTCTCATTATAATTAAAGTTAAAAAGGATAATACTAGTTTAAATTTATATATTAATATAGATTGTATTTGCATTAAGTGGAGACCATAACTTAGTAAAACCAATCTATTAGGTTGAAATTGTATGAGCTATTTTCGATTTTTGTCAAATTTTTCAACCATATTTATGCTTTCAAATAAATATACATGAAAAAAAACTCTAGTAAATTACAGCTCGGTAGGATAATGAAATTTTTAGTAGCAAAAAAAGAAACACTGTAAATGTGGTTAATAAAACCAAAATAAATGGTATTTGGTAATTTATTCTTTCATATGCTAACAGCTTACAGGAAATTCTAGATTTCAAAATTATAGTTTGATTACCACACATTTTGTAAAGAAATACAAAACTGGAAAGTAAATTTAAACGAATAAATAATTTTTATGCTATGCTCTAAAGTATCATGATAAAACTGCCAAATTTTACCACACTTATCAAATTTTATCACATATTATAAAACTATGTTTTATTGTTAATTTTACCAAATTCCTTACTAATTTGCTAGGTAAAATTTACTTATATTTTTGGTGTTTCCACATAAGACAGAAATACTCAAAGTTGTACTAGATTTGGATAGTTTCGACCATCCTTTATTTTCTCTGCGTCAATTTTTTAAAAATGTAAATGTTTGTATTAATTAAAAGGTCACTCTTCATTAGAATTTTGTATCGATAATTCCGGACTGCATTAACTGTAAAATTTCTACTATTTATAAATTGATGTTTTCATTTTGTTGGAAATCCTCGAGTTATATTATCGAATTTATTTATAACAGTATAATGATATTGTTAAAGAAAGTAAATAACTTTAAAGTTAAACTTTGTTTCAAAATTTTGCTTTTTAAATAAATTATAAATTACATTTAAAAGAGAAATATTAAATAATTCTCTATTTATTTTAGTTTGGTTTGACAACTCTTATAGTTGTCTAATATAATTGTTTTATCCAATCAAAAAGATACTGCTTAAGTAAATTTTTGCTATAAAATGTTTCTCTTATACACCACAAAAGAAAACTTAAAAACTGTGATAATTTACTTAAAAAATAAAAAGTGAAAGCATGAATGAAGTTGTGATTTGTAGTTTTGTCATTTGAAGTTAATGTCTTTTTTTATTAACTTGAATTAATTATCTAATATTTCAATATTGTTATGGATATAAAACTCTAAAATAAGAGTTATTTTTTAATCATTTAATTTATACTAATCGATCGCTTTTATGTCATGACTAGAGGTAATGTATTTGAATTAATCATATCCATATCTTTGACCTGAAAAATCCGCAATATTGCATTACTATATAAAATAACGGCTAATTAAGCAGTTAATCAAAGTGGCTATTCATAGTTTAACCCATTTAACATGACCTATACGGATTTCCTAGGTTTTTACCATTTTTAGTAAATCCCCCTTCCTACCAGGATGAAGTAAATAGGTGAAATGCAAAACCAATAGGCAGATGTTAGTCCCCCTATAAGTTTTTTTTCTTGACCTGAATGCCTTAACTCTTAAAAGTATTACTGAACTAGCTAATGTATTTCATGGTAGCGATTGACTTTAATCTTATCTTCTTAATTAAATACATTTCTTAGTAAATTATAAGCTTATTGGCGGGAATTTAAATTAATTTATTGAGAAAAAAATTTCCTATAAATTGTTTCGTATTTTGTCTTACATAATTTCATGTGATGGATAGTTAGCGGATTTGGATATAAATTTCCCCTTTTTAACTAATTATGCAAAAAAGTATTGTAAAAACTGCAAAAATGTGGTAAAATTTGCCTTGTTTCTGGTTCTATGGGAATTCCAAAGAGGTCAGTAATTTTTACGGAAGCGCTTTGGTAGTAATTTTGCTACAATTAACAATATGAAACCAGAATTTTTTTTCCTCCGCGTGTTGAATTCAAATTTATTAGTTGATTTGCTATCAAAAATGCAAAAATTCATAAAAATACCAGATTTTTTTAATGCTTTATTTGTAAATCTGAGAGAAGGTAATTTAAAATTGTAAATAAAAAGCTATTATTTATGTGTTTTTCATTTTTTTGTATTAAATTAATAGTTTATATTATTTCCATAATTCTCAGTTCTTTAAACTTAATTTTTTATTTAAATTTTAACAATTGCATGTAAAGGAAAACGGTAATCAATCTATCTCATTTTGGTTTTTTAATATTAGTTCACATTGAAATCTTGGAAAAGTTATTAATAAGTACAAAAAAAATATTTAAATTTTTTTTATCTATTTCACTTTTAATTTACATTATTTTTCTGTTGTGCATATTAATTTTAGTTTATCAATGATTTTGATAGACATTTTAATTTATTTTTGATAAAAGTAAATGATGAACTTATTTATCTGCATCGCATCGAATTTTTCTCTTTATAATTTTTTATTTTGATTTACTTACAGAAATCAAAATATAATCATAGACATTTTTTTTACTAATAAGTGAAATCTACTACTTCAAAATCTTAACTATTGTGGTCAAGAAAAAAGAAGCTATTTTTTTGGCATTTAAATTTGTTAAATATTCCTTAGGTATTTACAAATCATACTCATGATTATTTGGAAATGATTCATTGTTATGTGAATTAAGGAAAAAGGTTTTTACATAAACCAAGTTGTTCTCATTAACAAATATTGCGTCTGTCT